GGTGGCGGAGATATTGGGGTAACACAAACAACCAAAGACGCGAAGGTGATCGTAGGAGGGGGGGGGGGAATGGAAGAGGGTGGCGTGGGGGTTTTATTTTGTAAAGTGGTGGTGGGAAGAATGTTAAAAATATGGGCTGTCATGTGAAGGGCCTCAACCCAGAAAGTAGGTGGAAGTTGGGCTTGGAAGAGGAGTGAACGGACCGAGTTGTTGATGGTACGAATTGTGCGCTCAGCTCAGCCGTTCTGTTGACTGGTGTGAGGACACGAGAAACGAAAGAGGATACCTAAGGAGTCAAAAATATTTTTAAGTGGTGAATTACGATGTTCTGTTCCATTGTCACACTGAACTGCTTTTATTGTTGTATTAAAATGATTTTTGACATATGCTACAAAAGAGGTTAAATGATTAAAAGCATCACTTTTATGTCTTAAAAGAAAAACCCAAAGATAATGGGAGAAATCATCCAACAATAACATATAAAATTTAAAACCAGTAGTACTCGGAACAGGAGATTGCCATAAATCTGTATGTAAAAGTTGAAACGGAAACATGGAGACACGATTAGAAGAATAAAATGGGAGGCGCACATGCTTTCCCAATTGACATGCATGACAAAGAGAATGTTGGTAACTTTTAAAAAAAGGAAGAGAAGAAATATTGCTAAGGACATTGTGGCTCGCATGGCCTAGGCGCCGATGCCAGGTCTCGAGATCGACAGCGGCGACGTTAGCTTGAGCGGCAACCGGGCGTCCTAGGGGGTAGAGGGGTCCCATATCATTGGATCGATGCATCACGGTGCCCGTCCGACGATCCTTCACAGAAAAACCATTAGAGTCAAATTCAACTGTATAATTATTATCGCGAGTGAGTTGACGGACAGAGATAAAGTTGTGAGTGATGTGAGGAGAGATAAGGATATTTTTAAGGGATAAGGAGGGGGTAGTGGGAAGGGTATGGTTACCAACAGCCGTAGTGCTTACTTTAGATCCATTACCAACAGTGATATATAATGGTGAATATAAAGATTGAGAATTAACATGAGAAATAGTACCTGGGTCAGAGGCAATATGATGGGATGCACCGGTGTCCATATACCAAGTGGGTTCACGGAGGGACATAGTGTCAAAGTGATGGGCTAGGGCTGTGGGGGTGGGGTTTTGGGTTGTCGG